CCAGCTTTGTTTTGATGCTCTCACAATTGCTGATCTACTTTGATATGCACAAGTACTTAGCAAGCTTCATGTCATTGATACCTGCTTTTTCTCTCAAATGTTTGATTATTTTCCATTGTTGAATCACAGAATACACCACATTGACACGAAGTAGTGTGGCCTCCGCACCTCACTACAATTGGGATCGGAGAAGCCTGAGGCTGGGAGAGCGTGAGCTGATTTCGAAAAGTGAATATAAAATGTCAGACCCAGGCTGTTCTTCATTAATATATAGTCATTCCAAACCTCCCCGAATCTTCTTCCAATTTATCTTAACCTTTTGCAACAGAGAAATCACAAAACAAGGTCAAAACTTAAAAGCTTATAGGCTCACCTACCGAGTTGGTCTCTCCCCCAAAATTGTGTACAGAGCTTCAAAGACTCTGACTAACTTTGTAAAATAGTGGCAGAGATTGTACGCTCCTCAGAACAAGATTTGATGATATCATCATTATCTATCCTCTCTTTACATCTCCCTGACCCAGAAGGCAAAATCATAGCTCAGATCCTGGACCCTATAAAGACCGACAAGCTTGAAACATTTCACTGTTTTCCATCCCTGATCAAGGAGCTGCAAATCAAAATATGGCAATTCGCTTTTCCTCCTCCACGAAGAGTCGAAGTACGACCCAATCGCTTCTGCCGCCAAAGGGAGCCTCACTGCTCTTCATGTAAATGCAGAGCCAAGCACACGGCTCCTTTGCCCATAACACTGTATGTCAATCAGCAAAGTCGAGAGGAGACACTCAGACACTATCGACTTGTTTGGATGACGCCAGAAACACAAGGCACTTTCAACGGCAAAGTAAAACCTCTTTGCTTCGATCCATCACGCGACTTTTTGTACACAGACATTTTCGACATGATGTGTTGTACTCGTTCTGATTGGATGGCTCCATTGATCGCCAATCGATTCCTGAAGAGAGATGGCTTCAAAGATGTAAGAGTCTTGGAGGTTCGCTCTTGGGAATGGCATGATAGTATCGGCGAATCTCTAAAAACGCCATATTGCGTTGCATTAGAAGTCTTTACACAACTTGAGGAAATACGCCTCATGCTACATCATCCATCGCAATACCTTCCAAAGTTCTGTGCAGATTGTAGAAGCAGGCATCAAGGGAGGCCATGGACTAAGTCTATGGAAAAGAAAAGTATAGATGCGATGACCGCATTTTTTCAGCGCATTCATGATGATACCGCCGTCGGTGAACAGCTCGCTGAGTGGGGATTTCAGTCACATACTAAACATGAGATGGCGGAAGTCAAGATTCCTAAAATTGTTGTTGTTCCATGGACTAGACGATGTTAAGTGGGCTATGCGCTAGTAATTCGAAAGTTAGGTGCACTTCTGGCTCCTCTTCATGAAGCGCTACCCAAGTGATACGGGGCTGACAATTAAGATTGCGCTTAGCGGGTTCGGATAGTGCGATGAGTTTATAGCAGAATAACGTTGAATTTTTACATCATCTCTTTACATGTGCAAATGCTTTCCCGTCGAGGCGTTTGAAGATTTTACCAATATCAAGAGACCTTTCGTATTTTCATGGCAACATTTTCCCAGGCTTCCCCTTCCCTTACTCTTCCTGCTCCGCCATGAACCCCAAACACTCTTACGGCCTTTGGCATCCACCATTTTCTCGTCGCGTTAATCTTTCTCGTATCTCGAGAAAAATTCACAACGCCAAATCTTTGCTTTACAGCTTTTAATTCGGAGATTTCGAGCCTAGTCACCCTTGGTTTCCCTACAAAGTTCATCGTAGTGATATCGACCTGTGCATCTTTTGGTGGGTTCTTTGAGTATCTCATCAATAGATCTCGTGAATTACGAGCGAAATTGGGCAGCCTGAGATGGATGTAATTGACAAATGGCGATGTTATATATGCCACGAACACCACTGGAACAGCTCCAGATAGTAGAACTTGGAATTATATTAGTTTCTGAGAAAAGAAGGACTCGGTAGTTTTTGATGACATTGCTTCATTTAAATTCCGCAGAATTCGGGATCTTAGCATTAACTTACCAGCAGGTGCCACCCATTCAGGTCCATCCTCCGCATAGTAATGTGCTGGCGCTACAACTAGAGTAAAAAATACAAATATGAAAATAGTTGTAACTTTCAAGCAGCCAAGAAACACTGTTCTTCCAGTCCCAGAATGATAGATAAGCAGACGTTCGGGATATGCTATTTACAGTTAGTTTGAATAACACAAAGAGGCAGATGTACTGACCGGGCCTTTTGCTTGCATATTGTGGTGTTGGTACAGGTTGTGGTGTTGCTGCTCGTGGTATTTTATTTTTTGTAACCTGACTAGCGTATCTGAAACCAGCTGTTCGAAGACATGATAAGGGTCTCTGGATAGCCAACCCTCTGGGCGCCGTTAATCGTGCGAGCAATGTTATCATTGCAATTGATCACGGGTATGGCGAGGGGAAAGAATGTCGTCAAGAAAATATATTTGGGAACGAATTATCAATCAATCATTATTCTGCTTGTGGCCGAATGGCTGATCCAATGTCAAATCGAATCTCAATATCTGGCAGCTGTGTAATATTTCAAATATTGTTTAAATGGATACAGCATAGAAATAAATTTGATACAATGGCCAAGCGCGTTTGACGCCACGGGCCGCGATATTTAGCCGCGGTTACATATCTCGGTATCATTGTAACAGATTACCGTTAGACTTTAGGAACGAATAGTATTTGCTCACACAACATTTGGGGAAGTATGATATTGCGGAGATATTGCAGATAAAGACAAGAGGCGCTCGCCTTTTCACTCGGTACAATGATTTCACAATACATCGGAACAATCGCTTTCTTGATTTGCAGCATCTTGAGTATCAACGTCACGGCATACACTCCTTTATCCGATCAGACATTCCATAGTCTCCCATCTGCAGACGCAGATTTTGATATACATAATGGGGCCATTCTTTCCCCGATTTTGATCCCTAGAGTCCCAGGAACCCCAGGAATCCAAACTGTTCAAAGACACTTCGTTGATTTCTTTACAACGCATCTTCCGGAATGGACAATTGAATTCCAAAACTCGACTTCGAAGACTCCCGTCACCGGTGACAAACAAGTACCATTTGTTAATATTATTATAACGCGCGATCCTCCTTGGGCGAAATCTGGAGATGTTGGAAGATTGGCCTTGGTTGCACATTACGATAGCAAACTCACCCCTACAGGATTTATTGGCGCAACTGACAGTGCAGCTCCGTGTGCGATGATTATGCACGCAGCTAGAAGCGTGGATCAGGCATTGACGAATAAATGGGAGGCTATGAAAACGGCGGGTGATATTGGTTTGGAGGAAGAAAAGGGTGTTCAAATACTGTTCCTCGACGGCGAAGAAGCATTCCTGAGCTGGACTAATGATGATTCTCTTTATGGCGCAAGGTGAGTGATTTTTTCCAAATCCGCACAAATCGCAAACTAACTCATTCAGGGCATTGGCGGAAACATGGGAAGCGACAGCTCATGCAGCTATGTCGAATTACAAAAATCCATTGGACTCGATTAGCTTATTCCTTCTTCTTGATCTTCTTGGGCACGAAAATCCAAGCATTCCTTCATATTTCGAAACTACACATTGGGCATACAAAAGTCTTGCTACCATCGAAAATCGTTTACGATGGCTTGGGATAGCTCAAACAAAAGTCGAACACCATTTCCTTCCCGATGTAAGTCGGACTGCCTTTTCTGGTTTTGGTGGTGTACAGGATGATCATATACCTTTTATGGCCCGTGGTGTGGAAATTTTACACATGATACCTAACCCATTCCCGAGCGTTTGGCATCATATTGAGGATGACGGGGAGCATTTAGACATGCGTACAGTAGAGGATTGGGCCAAAATGCTAACAGCATTTGTTGCTGAATGGATGGATCTGGAGGGACATTTTCCATCGAAGGCACAAGCGGAAGCAAAAAAGGCAAAGAGAGACACTACTTCCGATAGAAAGACTGAACTGTGAGTTGTTCATAGTCACTTTGTAGCTTCCAAAACTCGTATTAATTTTGTAGTAGTAATGAGACTTAGGGATGCCAACTGGATATATCGCTTCAGTCAAATGATGTCTGCTTATTCGAGCGGATTTTCTTGCTATTCCTGTCTTATTGTGCCGCGGAAAAGTGATATTAACTGAGATTTACAAAAGCTTCATGACATCGAAACTATGTTTTTGCTCAACACACATCCTATTTTACTGACCATAAACAAAATGGAATAGGCAAGAACTAATTCTCTGGTCGTTGTTGCCCACTTCGCCCTGTGTTATTACTGCATTTGCTCATCTGCTTCATGATATTTTCGAGTCTTTTGTATCATTCCATCCTGACTAACTCTCGCCGAACTCGCATTATGATAAAATTATAACTGGATGCAAATACTTTATTTCCAGTCACTGCCGTAATTCTCTCAGAGGTATCAGTCTTTCACTGGACCGAGCCAATCAACACCAGACTCAGCACGAACAAGTTTTGAATCAGACCAATTGTTGAATTCTAGACTTTGTCAAGCAGGCGATTAGCTTTGTTACTGGTTACCAGAAATCTGCCCACAAAGAACCGTCAAAATCCAGAATTTTAACGCAGCTCGATGAAGCTACAGAGAAGTATCACGAGTGGCATACGAAACTAAGATGACTCCAGGGCCGGTAAAAATAACCCTGGACCAGGGAACATTTACGATACAGCATATGAGGCTGTTTGATGTCAATGGCCTAATGTGACATTAAAAATAGGTAATTAATGAAAGCGACTAAGGATATTGTGTCTCTCTTGAGTAACTTCTTACATTACCCTCGCCTTTGAGAACCGATCTGTACCATCGCCTACCTCAAAGGATCAGGGCACACTTCACTCTCGAGGGAATCCCATCGGGTTAGTATGCATTCCTTAAAGTTTTCATTCTTGTCCAAACGTTTAGGCTCCTCTTAAGCATTGAAGCATGAAGGAGGAAGTTATAAGGGGAGAAATCGCAGTACCGACAAGAATTCATGGTCTCAAAATTATTGTGCAGATGCACATGGGAGCAGAAATATTGGCAGAAGTACCGAGGGATAGGCCAGATGGTCATGAGTTCGATGTGTGCAAGGTTCTCTTGATATCTGGAGTAGCTACTTGGAGGGTGGGATCACGTTTCAGATTGGCACCCGCCGAGGCTGTAGCTCAGGTGTTTGGAATCATGTATGTCCATGATGCATAGAATGGGATGATGGCAACGCTGCTGTGTAGGTTCGGATTTGGGCATGGTTTTGACTTTCAGTCAGGATAGATACTTCAATGTTAGGCGTTGGACGGTTGACGTGATCTACTCTGGTTCGGCTTAAAACTCTCGGGCTTTAAAGTTCAACGGTTTCAATCTTTGCAGCACAGAATCGATATCTCATCCATTAATTATAGTTCTCACTACGCGGCTCACTCACAAGCATACTCAAAGTTCAATTATAGGTCCAGAATGAAGACAATATATATAAGCTACGTATGGCCTCAAAGAAATGACTGTCTCTACCTGGGATCAGTACCGAAAAGCTTTATTCAGCAGCAAGAAAATAATTCATGACATGAATTCCTGTCAAAATATGTACAACAAATTGTCAATACTTGAAAACACAAACTATCACTTATCCCGAAGCACCGGAAGTACAGGTAAGGCCCGTTGATTTATCAACATTTGCGCACAGAAAAGTGGCAGAACCAGATGCTGGAGCAACAGACCAAGACGAGAAATTAATGTTACATGTTCCGGCCCCTGGGCAGTCCAGATTCGCTACATCTGGAGAATATTTTGAGCTTGTCGTTCCTTTGAAATTTGTGAAATATACGTCGGTGACTGAGGCCGTGCTGGGACTGCTGGCACAATAAGTTGCGTCTTCGTTGTAGCAACTTTGGATTTGAGCTGCCCAATCACTGTTCTTTACTGTAACATCATTGAAGGTTACGTTGCTGACGATGGCTGATCCGTGTGAGCTTCCCCCAGGATACAGCTTGATGCCAACGGCTTTAGTGGAATTGACCATCGTTGCCCCAGTGACGTATATGTTTGTTACTGAATCGGTTGTGCCTGCTTTGTTTCCAAGAGAACCAACCGAGAGTCCATGTGATCCAGTACAAGTAATGGTATTCACAGTTGTGTAGTTTGCTCCGGGCTTAAAAGCTACACAATCATCTTGATTTGTAACATTGATGTTGTTTAATGTAACAAATGTCGAGTCACCAACGTCGAATCCGTCTGTATTTTTTGGAGCCGTTGTCGATTTCGAAGCTGCTGTCATTGTCAAGTCAGAATATGCGACATTTTTCGAACCTCCAGTAACACTAAAGAAGACGTTGGGTGGATTCTTGACCCTGAGGTTCTTGATGGCGATATTGGAAGATGCCCCGGTTATATAGTGTAATGTCGGGCGAGCATATGAAGAGTTGATAGCGAAATAATCGTATGCTGCTTGCCCATTTCCATCTATCACTCCGGTTCCACTAACGGATTGGATAGTTGCTTTGCTGATGCCATCCATATAGAATATAGCTCGTTTCCCATCCCAAAAGTCTAAATCGTCCGAGACTTTGAGTGTACCTTCGATATTGAGGGTGCACCCAGCACAGCCCTTGAAGTCGACAACACTATTTATTGCATACTGTACGCCGGCCGGAATCTGAATGACTCCGCCACTTCCACATGATGAAATGGCGGCAGCAATGGCTGGAACGTCATCGGTTCCGGAATTTCCAGCAGAAGCAGGAGTGCAAGTCGCACGTTTGGCAAGACTGACACCGTTCGCTTCCTTCCTCACTGCAGTTGGTGATGCATAGGCGGATGAGAAGAGCGATGTTGCTAAAGCCAAAAGCTCAAATTTGTGATGCATGGTTGCAGATGTAGTGGTAGAGATCGAACAACAAATTCGAAGAACACAAATTTATATTCACGGCTGACTGTCTTGGATGGCTCAACGGGTACTTTCGTTCACTTAAATGAATTAATCTATGTGGAACATTTGCTTGATGATTACAAAACAACCCCCTCGAAGAAAGAGGAAGGAAGTTGAAGGTATTGTCCATTTCTGGAGTATTTCCACGTATAGACATCTTATTCCTGTTACAATTTAGGAAAGGATCAACTCAACATGTTTGTTTCGAGGCGTTTAAATCCTTCTGTTTCATACCCCTTCTCGCCCTTCACTACGTTCCTGCGATACGGAGGTTAAAAATGCTTTTGACCTCCGTACGATCCGCGAAAACGTTGCGTAAATTGCAGGGTCATGAATTGAGCCTGAATACAGGACCGTCATGTGGCATGTGCGTGGTGACTATTGCCCCCTCAATGTACCGAGAGCGACTTGTTCTTACCCTGATATTTAAATGAGGTACCGACGTGTGGATTCTCGAGATGTTCCGTTACCACTCAAACGGAAAATTGAGGATTGATTCCCCGCGAAATAAGCACATTGATGATATTTCCGTACCATTCCCTGCGAATATACCAGCGGAGGTATTCATTTACAGTATTTCGCCTGAGGGAATCAGAGAGGTAGGTTTGAAATCTCAATTGGAGCGGGTGAGGAGTTGAACGAGCTTCGTTTCTTGGCTAGATCTAGGAAAACTAAATTATATATAAATACTGTTACTGTTGCATCTAGAATACGCTTCTCAATCTTCTTCAATCAACTTCACCGTTTGCTGTTGAAGTCTAACTTTGAAACCATGGCAACTTTCAAGTACATCCCTAGTTTCTTACTCGCCATTCTATTGTTTGTCGGTTCCATAGATGCATCAGCAGTACTGCACAAAAGAGCCGGCCGAACTAGCCCACCGTCTGGATGCCTAACAGTGAGAGGGAGTGGTACTCTCTCCGGCGAATATAGCACAGTTGGGGCTGCTTTGACTGCGCTTGGGTCGTCAACTACTACTGCTTGCATTTTCATATACAGTGGAACTTACAACGAGCAATTGACGATCAGTTACGGAGGAAACCTCACTGTCTATGGATATACCACAAAGTAAAAGCCCTTTGACAATTTCGGGGGACAAGCAACTAACTCGTGCCAGCACTGGAACATACAAAAGCAACACAGTAACAATTACGCATGGCATTAATTCCACAACTATTGGCCTCGATGCTAGCTCTACAGTTAATATCAGAAGCGCCAATTTCAAGGCCTACAATGTCAACTTTGCAAATACCTATGGAGCCGGAGTTCAGGTTCGCTTTTACTCAAGCTACATTTTGTAGCAGTGAACAATTGACTGACTAACATGACCTTTTCTAGGCCGTTGCTGTAACCGCCAATGGAGACCAACAAGGATATTATGGATGCTCATTCACTGGCTACCAAGATACTTTGTATGCCAAAGCTGGCAAGCAATATTACTCAAATTGTTATATTGAAGGTAAGGTTTGAATAACTGGAAGAATACAGATGAAGATTGCTGACTATAAAAGGGGCTGTGGATTATATATTTGGAAATGCTGCTGCTTGGTTCGGTGAATGTATGTTATCTCGAACAATGCAACAATCAAATAAATGCCAGCAAAGTTTTCTAACCCATTTCCAGGTACAATTGCTTCGAACGGAGGTGGTGCAATCACCGCAAGCTCCAGGACACTTGCCACTGATTCTTCTTGGTATATTATTGACAGCAGCACCGTAAGAAATTCCATCCTACTCCTCGAACAAATCTCTAAACCTTTGTAGATCACCCAAGCAGACGGATTCAGTCTAACAGGAAAGGTCTATCTCGGCCGACCATGGCGAGCGCTTGCTCGTGTAATCTTCCAGAACTCTGTCTTGACAGACGTGGTTAACGCAGCGGGGTGGACTACACTTGCCGCTGATGCCACACCGTACGTTTTACCCCAAGTTTTTATTCGATGGAAAATGCTGACGTGAGTTAGAATGTTTATGGAATATGCTAATACCGGAGCTGGCTCAAGCACATCTGCGAGAGTTTATGTGAGTAAAATAGACATGTGAACGGATTTAAGAAATCATGCTTACTATTGATCTAGGAAACGGCTGCTACTGGAACAGTCAGCAAGACCACATTGTGGGGAAGTAACTGGGCTTCTTGGATTGATTCTTCATATTGAGTTGAAGTGTTGAGAAAAAAGGTTAGAATAATTGTAATCAATTAAATTATTCTCCGCGACTTAATCTGAATAATTTGTCCAATCTTGCTGCTCGTAATTATAAGATGCTTTGTACCTGAATCCTTTGCAATCACTTCTTCTCCAATTGACACACAACAACAACCATATCCATAGAAATGCTAACCCCTTTTCTCGTCTCCAGTACCGCTTTGTTGAACGCCAGTCTATAAGCTGTTCTTTCCCCAAGTGCTCTCTCCGAAACGACATATCCCAGATCTTCAAGGCCCATCAAATAATTGTCCGTTGTCATTTGTCTCAACACGTCATTACAAGGAAGGCGGAAATTGTCGACGACTTTCAGACCTTGTTGGTTACATATCTCTGCCAAATTGGAGATCCACCTGGCCATCAAAAGAGGTTTGGTTAGCTATTTTCCTGTCTGACTTGGTGGTTGATAGAATCAACGACTTACCCAAAATCTAGATCACTCTTCTTGCACATGTCTTGAAACCTGTCTATAACTAGTTCCATATTCACTTTGGGCGTGAATTCATTTGGGGAATTGGCACTGAAAGATGCAGAATCCATCTCATCCCATTGAAGATATCCTCCCGGCTCTGAAGTTCATCCACGGATTAGCCTCCAATATTCTCACCCGTGTTGTCGAGGTATGATATGATGTAATTACTCAGCATAGCAATAAGATTGTCCAGCAACACTCCAGGATGACCCCCTTTTACAACAATTGTAAAAGCCCTAATATGAACAACATCAAATTTTCCCTTGAGGTGTTCTGGCAATGTTCCGAAAGCATCGAGAGTCTCAAGCTTCATGTTCGAGGGAAGATATTCTTTTGCTGGAAAAAGCTCGCTGGATATGTCGAAACCATGAAGTTGGACATTGGGAGAGACTTTCTGTGATAATTCTAGCAGCCAATCTCTACATTCATAAAAGTTTAGGTTAGTGTTGGTATCCAGTTGACTTGTTGACAAATAACTTACGCACTGCCAATTCCTACATCGGCAATGGAGAACATATCCTCTCTTTGGGGAGCTGTCGGCACGAGAATTGACGGATGAAGTAGCCATCCCAAGCGTATGTTCCACAGCAGATGTTGAATATGAAGTCTATTCAAGTCAGTAAAAAGCCGCAACTACCCTCGATTAGATCTAGGGAATAGCAACCGTGCCGAATCTCGAAATCCACGACTAAACATATAATCCTCCTGAACTGTGTTCTCACCCATCGTGATGTCGAAAGTTATGCTGGTGATTAGAGTAATATTCAATGGTGGCCTCTCAATGCAATCTTGTCTGTTCTGGTTGAGTCAAAGGAGCAGGAGACTTCCACACTGCAGAGACAAACTCTGTTATTGTGCTATCTCGTTAGCTAATAGATCCTTGAGTGGGGTATCACTCATTCATGAGTATTCCTGCGTGTTATCAGACTCGAGTAACGCGTCTCGAGAAATTAGCTTACAGCTATGGTGTACCGTGGTTTATGCTGTTTCGGGACCGACCTCCGATCGATAATTTTCTATTCATGTCCTAGCTACTTCTATTGTATGAATCTGGAAACACTTGCAGGTGTGCTTGTTTAATGTATGATGCTTGACTTGCTCAGCGCTTCCATCCTTCCAGGGAATGATTGGAAATAACACGCTATTTAGTATAAATCCTGACTATTTTTTTGGTATAACTTCTTGAGAAATATATAATTACGGAGGTTGTCAGTGTAAGTTGTGTAAGACATTAATTTCCTCCATATATCTCTGTAAAGGGGAATTCAGAGGTTTTAATAGGTTGAATTGTTCTCTTTTATATTGTTTTAATAAATCCAAATAAAATCAATACTTTTAAATATTTTTAAAAACCTTATGAGAATCTTTTTAATATTGATAATATTTAAACTCGAAATTTATTAAAATTTATATATCAATATTATCAAAATAATTGATTATATATTATTATTATTATCTTTAATATCAATCTTTTCATTTGTTAAATCTATTTTATCTTTTTCTATATTACTAGTGTTGGAAATTCTAATTCGATATGAAATGATTAAAGATTAATATATCGAAATATATATTCTTTATAGAATTGGATAGAAAACTATAAAGATATAAGAATATTTTCTTTAAAATGATATCAATCTAAATTATAAACAAGTAGTTTATATATACTTTATATGTATAATATTTAAAAAACAATTCGGCTAATTATTAATTTTATTAATCTTCTAGTTTAATTAAATTATTGAATTTATTAGTTTTTTCAAAATGTATAGGCAAATGTTATATTAGAGAGTGGTTTTTGAATTAGAATAAATTGAAATAGGTGAATCTGTAATTCGAAATAAATTAAGAAGAATAGGCTATAAGTGTTATGTTGTTTTTCAAAAGTCTTTTATTTTAAAAACTAATTATTTAGCTTATCTTTAATTTGTATTAGAATATTTTGATTAGATTAATAAATAATGAAATGTTATTTTATAGTTAGATAAGATGTGGGTGATAGTAGGATCTTATTGTAAAATATATATTATATATTTATCACGGAGGTAATAGCTATATCTAATAATCACTTCGATCTGGGAATAGATATATAGAGTAATAATAAACTAAATTAACTTGAGATATAATTCTAATGATTATATTTGCTTTATATACTTTGATCGGGTGAGGTACTCGTTTAATTAAATATATAGGGTATATAAATAAAATAAATGAAATAGTATTAATAATTATGGGAGTGAGTACTCCAAAGGAGTACCGGGATTAGTACTTGTAAGGTTACACTATACGGTGAATTCCGTGACAATATTGTATTAATAAAGCTTTTAATTCTATATATATATTAAAAAGAAAACACAAGAAAACCGGGTGGATGTTTTGAGGTTGTTTTTTAGAAAAAGTAGGTAAAGAATTAGGCTTATTTTAGGAAAAGGATTGGGGTATTATTGATATTGAATTATATCAAATTTATATTATCCTTATTGTTGATAATTGGATATATATGTATTCAGAATATATATTTATGTAGAATAGAGCTTCTGGATATGTTATTAATATTATTTTTGTAGATTTTATTAAAAGAAGTATTGAAAAGGTTAAATGGTTAGTATTTAATTTGAATCTCAATTTTATTAAGAATGTATGAAATAAAATGAAAGATTGGATTTGGGATTATTATTTATATAATAAGATAATCTATAACAAGCTTAGGAAGACTATTAATGAAGTATAGGAGGTTATATTGTATAAATATTTAATTAGTTTATTTAGGAGTATAAAAGATAAATGTTAGGCAATTATTAATGCTAATAATATATATACTAAATATTAATAAAATTGATACTTTTTTTTATTCTTAAAAGATTCTTTATAATATTTTCATTATCTGGAATTTACTATACTAATTTTTAAAAAATGTAAGGTTTTTATTAGCTAAAACCCCTGTATATGGGGAAAAGCTCGGCCGCTTTTTGGTGTGTTTTACAATACTTATGCTGACAACCTCCGTACACGAGAAAGAGCCCGGACGTGCGTAGCATTTGGTCAGGGGCTCCTGAGAGTCAACGCATTGAAGACGAAAGATCCTTGACGAATATTTGTGATTGCCCGATTATGACTGGTTCCATAGTATTACCAGGGTGCTCTCTAACAGTTGGGAATGTAAGGGCTTCTTTCGATATAACGAAATGACTGAAGTTGATCTAGTAATAAGGACCTGGCGGTTAGGGTGGGGGGACGTAATCTAATGCAGAATTGGGGTTTTGACCCCTGGGTATATTCTTATCCCCTTTTGCATATAACTATATGCAGTGTGGTACCTGTCAATCATTATCTATACCCTAGAATACACCCTCGTAAAACAGGGATAGAACTAGATCAATTTGATAGAATAGAGCTACATCTCCATTCATAAGCTGTGACCACTTGGACAGATACAGAAGGAGAGAAGCTTTCCCTCTTCCTTGAATCCACATTGCCCAGCTATACCCCATAAAGCTTTTACCACCATTAAGTGACCTGATCACTGTCAGACCCCGTTGATCCTGGCAATTCCCCACTTGCAGGGACTTGGGGGCGCGGAGCAGTCTTCCGTCGACAATTTCTTTCATGCATGTATTGTCCTGTACTTTTAGGGCTATGCCGCATCGCTTCCATTACTTTGATGTTGCCAACTATTCTACCTCACTCAACCGGACATCTAGTCATATGCGTGTACGAGGCCTCAGGCCGGTCATTTCTGCGCATTTTTCTTAACTCGCGGCTAAGAGACCTTGTCGTGGATGCTATTTCCAGAGCCCAAATTAATCTATTCATCTATTCAAGCCGTGTCATTGGTGAAAACATAAATGTCAGGGACTTCATGATTATGAAGACGAAAACTAAAGGCCGATATCAGTCAAAAATGTAGCGTCAGATTTTTGGACTAAAAATCTGTATAGTAGTCTATTCGGATGGGTCATACGCGGTTGAGATGAGAATTACTTCCTTTCCCGTTTTTTTGTAAAACCCGTTGACGACAATTCCTGGTTTCCTGAATTTCCATACACGTTTCCCACCCTCAAATTAAAACAGGCTAAACACCCTTTGTGACGTTAGCAAACAATTTGAAATTGGACCCAGAGGATCGATATCAAACCCTGGCATGATAATTATTGCAGTTTCTTGATTGGCTGCCATAATATTGCAGTTCATCGTAACAATCGTTATTTTGCAAGTCCTATTGTTTTACGACTGCGACTGGCTCAAAAGCAATGTAGGCATCTGTACCCAGCTGCAAACCTTTGTAATGTTTGTTTGATAAATCTCGCATAGAGAGTCCTTTGATAGCCTTCACCCCTCATAGGGGGCAACGCCCTAATCATTGGTATTCTCTCCTGGTCGAAGTGATGACTTTCGTCCGCGCACAGAAAACAATGATTCTGATGCAACCCACACTTCGCACAAGGTTCTTCTGCAATTGAATACGTTATACTACACCAATATGAATCTCTTTGGGCGGCAAGCGATTGAAGGTGCTCTTCCTCCACCACCTGGAGTGACTCCAAATTTTGTCAACCCGCCTAGCATTGCTAAATATAATGTTCTTTGTCAGGCCGTCTGTGTACCGGTTGTCACTGTATTCGTAGTCATACGATTGTATACGAGAGTCTTTATACATCGAAAAACAACGGGAGATGACTGTAAGCTTTACAATCTTAAATCTCGAGAAACTTACTGATGTGAGAAGATTCTTGCATAGTGGCTTGGGTAAGTCATCTTAGCGACACATTTACTGAAGCTTCAAAAGGCTGATTGGGCATGCAGGTTAGCACCATTATATATTCTGGAATGGCATTATCCTGCAAGTTCTCAAGCAGAAGACACATACACAAATGACACTAATAAACGTGAACCAGTATGGCGCTGGAGTCCACCAATGGGATGTTCCAGCTACAGATATCAAAATGTTTGGAAAAGTGAGTTAAAGAAATACACGAAGTTAAACTGTATTGACGTCGCATGCAAAGTTAGTTTATGTGACTCAGATGTTGTACGGGCCGCAAGTCTTTGCGACCAAGGTCGCAATTCTACTTCTATTGTCTCGCATATTTGGCGTCAGCAATAAGATGTTGTGGGCGATACGAGTGCTGATCGGCTTGATGGCACTATACTATGTTCCTGCAACAGCAGCAAAGATATTCATATGCTGGCCGGTCGCCCATTTCTGGGACCCTCTAGCCAGAAAAGGCACTTGTCTTAACGAGAACTCGATATTCCTTGCTGATTGTACCATGAGCATTATTAGTGATTTTACGATTTTGTTGCTACCAATACCACTGATTTGGGGATTGAAAACTCGTACAATGCGGAAGATTGGGGTCTCGATCGTGTTTGGAGCCGGCATTTTGTATGTATCTTCCACAAATAGAAACGCAGTCTAACAACTTTCAACAGAGCGTGCACCGCAAGTGTTCTGCGTCTTTATGAAACACTACATCTTGGGGGTACTCTGGACAAGACTTATGGTCTAGTACCTATACTCCTCTGGAGGCAAGTGAGACTTCTTAAGGTGTTACAGAGTATTGACTTACATGTATATATAGTATTGCTGAGGTGAACATCGGCATTATCTGCGGCTGTTTGCCATTTCTCCCATCCTTCATTAAAATGACGTTCTTCAAGTCTCCAAGCCCGAACGATTCCACGGAAAACAGTAGTTATTATCGTCTGGAACGAATATCAAAACCAAAGCGCAACGTTGATGATTCTATCTTGCGAACACAAACGAGAATGGACGATTCGGATGAGCGCTTAAACGTGGAACAATCTACACTTGCACAAGTTAATCAAGGCAACAATATAGGAAAAGGGGCTGGGATAATGAAGGAGATAGAAATCGATCCAAGGATTTGATAGGTGACAGTAGTTTTCAAATTAAATATGTAGTAGTGTCCCTGACCAGTATGCTTGCTGTTGGTCTTTGGCTCTTATCCCTATGCCGATCCTGATGTTTGGCCAGCAATATTGAAAAGCTTTGGACGGTTTTTCTATCTTGTCTTTTCTGGCTGGTTTCTGCGTCGGTAGCCGAAAAGGATGCATAGCCTTCATCAAGATTATATTGCGTCCCTGTAAGGTTGAGAAATATACATATCATATGATTGTAAATATCATATGCTCGGAGGCCATTCGTTGACCTTCACACGGTATGGTGGTCAATTTCCATCTTGAACTCCAAGCCTTCCATGCTTCAGAAGGTCTATGAATCTTCCATTCTCTCATCCATCAATTTCATCATTTCATCCTCTTCATCGACCTTCTTGCTATGACCATTACTCGTCCCATTACTTGGTCCCAGCCCTCGTTTCGCCAGTTCTTCCATGATATCATCTTTAGCAATCATCATCTTCTCCCCAAATATTTCTTTCCCCCTCCGTGCCACGCCCTCTAAACTCCTCATCCCAACTACCAAGAACCCTAACTCCTCCCTCTCAACATCAAACACCTCCCACCATTCATCTTCTGGCATTTTGATTCCCTCTTCCTTTGCTGCTAGGTATACTGCCGCTACTGCTAATGCGCATGGCTGATGTGTCAAATATAGCATCTGCGGACTGAGCAACGCTGTGTTGAGATATTGTATGGTCTTCTTCGCAACCGCTTTGCCACTGCCATTTTTGTGTGCCGGTGAAAATATATCGAGAGTTTGGAGATATGTAATTGCGAGGGGATGGGGAAGAGCGACGTGTGTATTGAATCCCAGAGCATTCAAGACTTGGCCTTCAATGTTGAGGAGTCGTGTACGGTAGGTTACGTAGGCAGATTCGGAAAGATAGTACGAGGAGGGATTATTTTCGGGCACGTAAGAATTTGTGAGAGTTGCGGATTGAGAGAGGAGATAAGCATATACATTCGTTATACTGCGAAAGGATCGAGGAGACGCGGATACTTTAGCAGTTAGGTAGAGGGTAGCTGCTGAGACATCCTGAGAACATGTTATTCTAAGAAATCAATGATAGACTTCCAATTCATCACGTACGCTATATTCATATTGCATCAAGTCATCCACAAGCCAATATCTGTAGAGAAGAACATTTGCTTGAGCTGTGATGTCTTGGGGAAGGCCAAGCAGAATGCCTGCGGCTTGCGTAAGTCGTGCGGTATAAAACCGGATGCTGTCTTGAAGTTCAGATGGAAGTCTATTATTTGAGGTATTTTGGTATAATTGTTGAGCTGTTGCAAGAGGATTATAAAGGTGTGACATGATTGCTGGTTGTAAGCAAATGAGGAAATGTAGGTCGCGACGTCGTTGAGGTTTGGATGCTAGAAATTGTAGCCTTTTGCGCAAGGCTGCCATTTTTTCCCACAGCAGCCAATCTTCAACTCCAACACTGTGAAATAGCAAGCTTTGAACGAACGCTTTTACGACTTTTTATTGTTATTAATATCTATGAAATACCGCTGGTACCAGAGGAATCTTGATTATCTTATATGCCAAATACAAACCCAACTCCCCTTGCTGCCTAGATGCCAAGAGCGCAATTCTCACTATATTAGGAGACTTCAGAAAACCCCCTCCGGTCCGAGCTAAGTACCTGTGATCTCAACTCCTGGAGCATTGTCCTTCGAAACCACCTCATGGCCTGCTTTCAAAAATTGAAGAATGACATCAACTGCCCAATAAACAGTATTCTCAACTGTGTCATCGACAGTAGTTCTAACAAACACGCCGTCGACATTCTCCTTTCCGGCCTCTCTTAACAGCCAACCGAATGAATCTTCATAACCCTTCCAAACAACTTCTTCAAAGTATCCTTCTGACTTCCACATCTGTCCAGGACATCTTCCACCAGCTGGAAAGTCGATGTATGGGAACCTGCTCAATCTCCTCTCTTTAGCGACCTCCTTGCTAGTAGGCAAGAATAGTTTGATATCAAATTCTTGCATTAAAGCTGCCTTTGCCACGACCATCTCTTCCTTCGTTCTCATCATAGAATTTTCCTTCAATGCAGCTTCTTTCTCGAGTTTTTGTCGTACGTTTTCTGATCGCCCTGCGCAACGGTCTTCGACCTCTGAGGATGCATCCAGCCATGTGCTTCTGTCGTCAGAAGGCAGAGTTTTGCTGAATAATAGAAATCCCTCAACAAATACCCATCCATAGTTATAGTCCGCAACAACATGGTTTCTCATATGACTACCTGTTCCAACGGCTAAGCACTCCCCAACCCTTCTGCGCATGCTTTCGATCACCCCGGAATATTGCTCAATCAGTTTCTTCTTGTCTGCGTCATCTTTATATTGAACACAGATTTTTGACTCGGGAGTATTGGCCTGCGCAGCTTGAACCATTCGAAGTAGATTGCTAAAATTGACCGCTTCCATACAATCAGTATTTGGTCCGATGATCTGTACATTTTCTTCCCCATTCGTGCCAGTTCGGGCGTAGAAATAGACTGGGGTTTCGTTCTTTTGAGCAAGACTTTCTTTTACAAAACGTTTGTCGTTAGGAGCGCTGTTAAATTGGACCAATGGACAGTCAGCTTTCGGAATGAAGAAAGCGTCCTGATGGATTATGGTTGTAAAGAGATGTGTAGCTTTTGCATCGCCTAGATTATTTTCCTTGGATATATGTGGAGATTTATTGTCTGTCGAGTGTTTTGTAGTTGGAGAAGAGAAGATTTCTGAAAGTAGTAATGCCAACGTTGTTTTGCCTGATGAGGTGCATCCTGAGATAGCTACAGTGAGCGCTTTGGGGGTAATTTGAATGACACTACATTCTTTTGTTGTTAGGTGTAGCTCTGGTGATTCAAGTCTCTCCCGTGCTTCAACAGAGTATAACATTTCTTTTTGCTGGCTAGGATGATAGAAAGAAGGGTTAGTAGTTGTGAATTCTTGAGACTCCATAGCTTGAAATCTTCAAATAAGACCAAATTTGTAACAACCTGATATCAGTCCTACTCAAGGGTAATTTTGGGACGATTCTGACTAGATGTAGGAAAGTCGCAACCGCTGTATCATAAGGTAAACAACCAGCTTCAATAGCCTCTGTCGTCTTTTGAAGAGGTTTAAACTACGCTGTATATCGGCCTGGTCGAAGAAAGTATTTCTTTGATATACAACGAGGATTCAGTATTGCCACAACGTGGTTTATTCTATAGAGTGAATCATGAAGTCAGGATTAATTTTTCAATCTTCACGTGGATGACTGTCGATCAAGGGTCAAGTGGCATTAGCCTACCAAGGTGTACATTGCTGTTTGAAACACACTGAGTAAATCTACGGAAAGAGTCAATGTAATAATCTAACTGCGTTTTGGTCTTTGTGCGTGTTCGCTTGAATCATCATCGGGCGACATCAAGATTCCACCCACCACTCGCCAGCAGCCTCTGTATCCGACAGTCAGCCAAATGTAACAAGATTCGTACGAACCAAATCCTCATATGCTTGCCATTTACAATGCTTCAGAAGACTCGCACTTAGTTTGGTTTTAATCCCCGTATTATTCTATAGATTAATCAACAAAAAGAAACCAAAATATACATAAAAAATTCATGCGATCAAGACACTACCATGCCATCCTGATAAGAGGCGTGGGGCTCATGATACTTTTAGTCTTGTTGTTTGAAAGCTCTTTTACTCAAAGATTCTTGGCAAGTAGGTATTAAACAGGCAAATAGGTTAAAGCAACAACAGCATTCAACAAGCACGCAGGTCTTTACCGGTTTTTATTGTGAAACCCCTTGGTTTCCGAATACGCAATGCTATTGAAAGATTGAAATGAGAGTAATTATTGGAGCCAGCCCTATAATGTAACTTTTGCCATCTTTGATTACCAATGAATCCCTGTTCCCGCCAGGTTCATGCTGTCCATGCTACCTCTTCGTGTGTTCACTGTATCCCAAGAATCCTTCGATACTAGGATTGCCTCCGATCGACTGTATATCTCACTATTAGCTCGGTTATATTGGCTATAAAAGAAATTATGCAGAACAATAAGAAATTTGCGTTTGAAGAACCAGAAGACTTACACTGATACCAACTAGGCTCCACCTAAGACACACAAAAAACTTACATCCGAGGTGCTTTTGACCTGCATATCACCAGGTCTCGAGTACGACTCAGTACAGGGAAATGGTGCCATGATGCAACCAGATGCATCCCCGTGAGCTTTAGGCACTAGATATCGGATGCCTGAGTTATCGCAGCAGTTGTCAACCGCAGAAACAGCATAATAGCTTTTTCCTTGGAAGCCCTGGAATGTAATTTCACCAGTGACTTTGGGAACGTTTGGAGTCTCTCCTGGAAGAATAGCTTTGAAGGAGCCGCTCCAGCTAAATCAAGTTTTCATTAGTAACTCGAAGACTTGATATCTTATAGGTAGTGGACTTACCCTTGAGGAAATTGGACAACAATTGCATATTTGTCCACAGGCTTCGCAGGAAGAAAGAGGCTGGGAACTTCAGCAGAACCGGTATTTGGGGTAAAGAAGACGGTGCGCTCGGTGGTGTCTTGAGTGAAAAATTCCAAGCTATTTGCCATGACAGAAGCAAGGAGCGAGAAGATAGAGATCATAAAAATAGTGATACTGTTGAGACGAGACATATCGTAAGAGGTAAAATGAGGATTCAGCAAACGAGAATACCTTATAATGGAAAGAGTGAGGTTTTGGGATCAAATTAATCAATGATGAGAATTTGATTGTCTGTTGTTCCGATGGATGGAGGAGAGAAATTTTGTGATTAAAGAGAGGAAATTTTGGAGAAGGACGAGTGCGAGTTTATAAGGAAGAGGGGGAGCCAAAGACTAAGGCACTACTCTAGGCGAAATATATTTTCAGTCAAATCTGGAGTGGTCGGAGAGTGAATTGCTTCCTTTAAGGTGAATTGACAAAAGTCGTGCAATAATTTATGTCTTTGTCAAAAAGCCATGCCACAAAAAGGAGAGTTTGGAAAAATTGATACTAGTGTATTGAATGAGAATTCTACGAATTTTCAGACATAAATGGTGGATACTAGAGTAAGAGAGGTGACCTGAATTATAAGTGATCACAGTGTAAAGATGGGTTTCAGTGAGCAGGGGTGCTTAATGAATATCGAGCCCTCCTGCAAACGGCGATCTGCCGCAGACTATCTGTAAGGATCCCTCACCAAGCAGAATCTTATAGCCTGGAAATATGTATGCCATCTTTTATTACTTAGCGATTGAAGTGAAGAACCAATTCTTTGGAGTATGATGCAAGGAAAAACAGGACTTGTCAAAACCGACGTTTTCAGTCTCCTTAGAACATTGATTTTTTTTAGATATCGCCTGGTAGCAAAGATAATGCAGTCCGGAAATACCCATATTACTTAATTTGAATATGGACTTGGCTCAAATCATCAATATACAGGTGCCTGGTATTTTCTCACGACTCACGTGATACTATGTTCACATAAGATTTCTCGATGCCGAGACTAGCAATGTCAGAATTGGGAATGTCAGAATTCCAGAAGATCACGGGCCACTATATGTAGAAGCTAGGCTTAGGTTGTTATGATAAGAAGAGGTAGGTATGAGAAGAAAGATAAGACGAACAAGCTATCAATGCCGAAAACCGCGGTGTCGAAAGTTTTCAAAAGTAGTCCATTCTAAAGGAAACCTTGGAAGAACCCGTCCTACGGAAGTCAGAAGCTATGATTTATTGCCGGGTTCCTGTACAGCGGACGTTGCAAATGGTATCGCTATGTAATGAGGTGGTATGAATTATTCCTACTTTGAATACCTAGTCACTCCACACACAGATACATCCCCTATTTCGGTACCCCACCCTTTGCAATCAAGCGAGAAAACGAAGCCACGGATTAACAAGACACAATTTATAAATCCAAATACAAGCATTTTTAAAATAAATACACCCAAAACATTGTATTTCCGGCAAACATGGAGAAGAGGGTACGTCAGATTTGGCTTGTGAATAGATGTATGGAAAATTCTTCATCCAAAAAGGTAAAAAGCAAGTGCAACCACGGCGAATCGAACGCCGACCTCCACCTTGGAAGGGTGGAATCCTGACCATTGGACTATAGAAGCTACCATGAAGATAAAGGTTTACTTTATTTCTTGTTAACGGAAATGTATTTTGACTACATATTACCTACTTGTGCCTTGTGGGTGGAGATGTGTGGAGTCAAATGGGCAGTGTAGGCAATAGTATTTCCCGTAATCCGTATACGGGTTAGATAGTGGTGCGTATCGATTTTTCTTCGAAATATGTACGTACGTGGTATGGAATTCGATACCACTGAAGATATTCAATATTATCCTAATATTGAATACCACTGATAAGATACGGAAATACGGATTTTTGATTGGTACGGAACAAGCCGAAATACGCGAATGAGGTTATCCCTAGATTTTATTAATATTATCGAATATTTTGAACTTTTTGATATTATAGAACTATTGAATTACTAAAAGAAAAAGGGTTTATTGAATTAATTAATTGATTGAGGTGAAGAGGAGAGCTTTGCTTAGTCAGCTACTATACATACTACATCTTTTAATTATATATCTAGGCTTTAATAGGACTAGATTTTTATATTTCAGTTTTCCCGTATATCTTCGTAGATATCCGTTTTAAGTGATATCTACGGCAGTGAGTATTCAATTGTCCAATACGTACTATCTACCGTATCAAAAGCTTCATACGCGCCACCGTTTTACTATAGTATACTATTGCCTACACTGCAAATGGGTGCGTGGAGATCAAATTAGTCATATCCGTGCTTCAATGTCAAGGATTTGATGTTTAAATTTTGGAAGACTTGATCTTCCTCAATCTATAATAGACCTCAAATGTGCGCATATTGACCTTTGGTTCCGCTCCCTTGAACTTTTTGATTTTTCGAGTCGGGCTCGAAAAATAGCTCGGTCCAATCACTTCCCTTTCCTCAACCATTAAATATCAGGTGACTCGCACACAGTCTATAGTATAAACTTTGAGATTATTGAGCCCCAAAAAGTGTACAATAAGACAAAAAGATCGCAAATCCCTTCCCACCCTTTTATTCTTCAATGCTTGTAATGGAACTATTGCCCGACGTTGATTCGTTACCTGCTTATAACAAACGTTAAAAGAGAGTTGTGATAAAATCTGGCAGGACTTATCCGTAGAGCACCTTCCAAAGTAGTTATGGAAGCCCATAGCAGTTACCGAAAGTTGGTAGCTTTGCTAATACTTCACTTGACTTTTTGTCCCAAATTTGAAGGTAGTCCTCATATCTGGTAACATGAATAATCCATAATCCATTCAAACGCTTGCAAGATACACTTATCAAACCGGTATGAATATTTTTCGACAAGGTTGATGACATTTCTCGTGGCCTTCAGTTTTTATTTCATGGTCTAACGTATCAAGTTCTCCAAAAGACTTTTAATTAACCACTTCACGTTTCCATCGATATTCCCAATTGCTTGTCGCTATTTGAATCGTACTATCACCTCGATTTAATAAGCCATTGGCGATGATGATCCTTCAAGGCCATCGCTCCAACTCCCTATCCTCTGACGATGAAATCGCCATATCTGCACATCAAGAAGCCAGACAAGGTCCTCGACGAGACCCTAAGCCATGGGCCCGTGATTCACCTTTTATTTCACATAATTCTGAGCGGCAAGCGAATCTTACACCTTTCAATACCATGCATATGCCCCGTCTAGATTCAGTGGGCAGTCAAGAACGTCGCTCACACATGCCTATCTGGGAGCCTCTATATATGGAAGACACTCCAGATAAAACGGAACAAGATGAGACACCCAGAAGCCGAGTGTCAACGGATGCCAATGGTTCGAAAGTGTTCATCAAGAATCCTTTCTCTGGTAGTGATGACGGAGATGAAAGCAGCATGGACCACGGTTGTTGCGCTTGGAAGTTGTGCTTGTCCCTTATGACCGCGAATTGGATGTCTCGTGCAATGTGAGGCAATCGTTTGAATGCTACTGGCATTTTCATAAGTTTCTATCTCGGAAGGAATGAACGAAAGAAGTTGTACGTGTTAGGATTACCTTTCTTGGGGTGGATTAGGTAGAATCATTATTCAAGGAAAATCAGTACTCAAGGCTTCATTCAAATACATTATGATCAAAGGTTTATGCTGATATTATTCCACGAGGGTATGTATGTTATTGTTCACTAGTTTTTCTACGGAAGTGGAAGTATCTTTGTAGTGGGCTTCGCATCTTCTTGTTTATGAAAGCGGCATGATGTAAGGTGAAGTCACTTTTGCCCAGCTCTGACTTTCGCTTGCCTTGTTTAATGGGCCACATTAAAAACGATAATACCGATGGCAATATCAGCAATTTTGCTCCTCCCATTCCCTTCCCCAGGGGCGAGTTCCATATTACTGGTCCTCCAAAGTAGGGGAAGTAAGAGTCTATGCACTCCATCCGTTATCCCACTCATTGATGTTTGCAGAATTCTGTCAATGGCCTGTAGGAAACTCTCCTGAGAGAATCGATTTGCCCTTTTTACTATTGTTCACCAAGAACCCTCTACTTGTCTTTATTTGAGATCATTTCTCTTGAAAGAGGGCCTTGATATTCTGCACAACTATTACTAAGAGGCTGTCTCTACTTGTGAGATAAAAAAAAAGGGCGAGTAAATAGGATGAAGTTGATAAGTACATAGTGAATCGCAATTATTCTTCCCTTCACGAAATTTGCAAATCCGTTTATTAGAGCCATGAGTTTGCAGCGTGCTTGTTTGTGTTTAAACGCTTGTATATTAGGATTGTATCTGCTCACCTGTTTGATCAACCATACAGTTGGCCGTTTAGTTTCGAGTTCCTATCAAGATATAATATCACTCAGCAGTGCACTTGTATAAAAAGGGCACCTAGAAGCACTCAATCATTCTAAAAATCCTACGCCCATTCCGTGTTGCAGTCACTCAGGAAGTGAATTCATACAGGATGCTTTTATAATAGACCCTTACAAGGTTTCCGTAGTATCAATTGAACACATTGTCTTCCGTGGTTCCCTAGAAGCAGCATATTGTTGCCATGAGAGTTCTGAGAGTATAGCGGAGCAGCTTTTAGCTGTTTTCTTCTTCACTATACTTGGTAGTGGCTTGAGAAATTCAGACATCATCATGAAAGCATTTAGTTGAATCTCGAAAATTCACTTGTATTGTGATTCAAATGAGATTTCGCTAACCGTCTTTAATTTTACGCGTTCAATTTGCAGTTTTTTGGCTCCACTAAAAACTGACACGGCAGCTTCGAAATTCATGACTTGATATAATCTCGCACTTTTCAGAATTTGGACCTGCAACAATTACAAAGTAATAAACTCCAGATCTCAAAGACCAAGTTCACATTCGCAAAACATTCAATTTTCAACAACTCTTTGAACATACCTTTCAATTTTCTCTACTTACTAGTAAATTCTCGAAATCACACATTTGTTTGACAGATCATTCTACAAATTGCCAACATGGATTTCACTACCAAGAATACAGCTTCTGGAGATGCTCGCCGCACACGGGGTTCCACTTCGTCATCGCCAACAAACACTTGCAAGCATGATGTCGAGTTCGACAACAACGATGAGCAGCACACCACCAAGCGTACCAGACGCGAGGATGCCCCGGCCACTCCTTCCAAAAAGTCAGCCAACCATCCCCAACGAAAAAGCGAAGGCAAATCCAAGCCAATCTTGTTTACAACTTCGCGCGTCGCAGGCTTCACTGGTAATATCTCTGTTGGTCTATCTGATGGTCCTCGCGGTCATTCTTCTCCTTCACCTGCTACTAATGATCACCACATGGTTGACCCAGGCACCCAGGATACCACATCCACAGCTTCTCAGGATATTTTGAAGAAGCAAGATCATGAACGTCTCAAACAACTTCTTCAGCAGAAAAATGAAGAGATAATGAGATTAAAAATCAAGCTTGAGGTCAGAGAAGAACTTGACAGCGAGGATGCTGCTCGTGAGTTGAAGCTAAAAGACACAATTGAGAAGTACCGTTCAGACGCCGAGTACTGGAAAGAAAGAAGTTCTGGCGGTCTTGAAAGCTATCATATTTTGCAAGAGAAGCACAAAATTCTTGAAGTCAAGCTTGAGACAGTTACGACTGAGCTACAAGTGAAGAATGAAACCCTCGAAGCCGAACACGAAGCAGTCAAGGCTGAGCTCGAAGGGCAGTGTACTGTTATAGCAATACAGGAAACAGAGCTGGCTGAATTACAAGAGAAATATGATGCACTGGAAGCCAAATACAAGACACTCAAAGCTATAGACGTTAACCAGGCTTCTTATGCTTTGTTTGAGGGTCGAAAAGTGAGATCTCCCTCATCTTGAGGGTTTAATGCTCCGCTAACTTTGCTCAGTCTCCTGAATTTATATCTGTTAATCCCGATAAACCATTTTTTACAGACGAGGAGCTAGCAGCAAAGCGAAAGGAGGTTGCGGACCAAGACGCTGCCGAGTTGCAGAAAGCCTGGGATGATCGCCGTAACAACGTCGTCAAGGACTGCGATGTTGTTATCCAGTCCATTGAAGTGTTCCCGGAAGATATGAGATTCAGCGAAGTACCTGAAGAAGCGACTGATGCAGGCTCGAGGTCAACAAACCCAAAGGTAAAAACATTTTCACTGCAACCTTGAAGGTCTCCTAGAGGCTATCCTTGATTTTCTTTTGCTGATATTGTGATAAATTCAGAGAACCGGCTCTTCTGTTCCTCTCAGATATGCCACACCATCGGTCGCCGCCAAGTCACCGGACCCACCCAACACTTACGAGTCTAATCTTCGTTTGTGGGATACACCTGACAGACCTCTTTTTCCTGGTCCGACTGAGGAATCTACATAGGTATCTTTACATATCCAAAGTCAGTTACGACTTCCTGTCCTAGACTTCCTTGTACAAAGCGCAGCAACTAACTTGAAGATATCCGCAGGCAGTAGATTGTCCATTCGATCAGCATGTCTAATACATGACGCGAATCGCCCGAGCAACGAAGCAATACCGTCGATTACGAGGAAATGTTCAACCTGCCCAGAGGGAGCCAGGAAGCCTTGGGAGTGGCTCTCCCAAGGTGGATTCAGCTCTAATGGGCAGATGAATGATTCCAAAGTTTCTGTCTCCGTCTGCCGAGGGCTCAATGTCGACAAACCATACGAAGAGACTCATCACAAAGAACAAACAGTTACCTGCGGCATAATCGATCGTGTTGACTCGCGTTGAATCTTTAGTTGTCTTTGAGCTTTGAACGGAGACGCCCTGACAAAACTTGAAGCAACTTCAGACTCTGCATCCTGTTCCTGATCCCAAATCACACTTACTTGGTAATTCGTTCCGGTCAATTTCTTAACTCGACTCTACTACACACATCACAACTACACCTTGGATCTAATGATACTCAAATTTCACAACTCAATCTTCCAATCACATCATTCTCATTGTCTGCTCTGTTACAGTCAATATCTCAACATGGTGGACATCCTTCTGCCTATCTCATGGCCACGTCCGGCTTTGATATTAGGAGTAAGATGCCCATCGACTTCAAAATACATGCACGACATTTCGGGTCCGTTCCAAAACTCAATGTTGCTGCTCGCAGCCCCCGATTCTGATGTCCACGACTACAGCACCTTATCTTCGCACATTCTCCTTCTTACTGTTGATATGTGCTATGGTTTAGGGACGCGGTTTTCCCGAATCCATCGGGTGCCCACAAACGGTGGTGGATGTTTGTAGATTACCTGCAGGACTCTGCGGTGAAGGATACTCTATGTTTTAGATGGTTCTCTAAGTCTGTGTGCCAATTCCAGGCTCATTATGACGGCTGTGGCAACACATGTTTTGGTCATTTTTGTATGGTTCTACGTGTCTATAGTTATTGATTTGATGTCCATGGTTGCGATTGGAATTCCACCGATGGTAGAAGTTGTATATAGTACTAGCTACATATTAGATGTTGTCTAAAATCCTGATTTACATCCATAACTCTATCTCTATATACCATGCCGTGAACAATCTCATCTATCTTGTTCGTGTCTAATTTTGCTCACTAACCACTTCCCGTGGAACACCTCTTGATTCCTACCTAGAGCTTGAGTGTTGGAACCTCTTACACGAATTCAAGATGACAATGTAAGTCTCATCACCACGATGCCTCTCTGTCAAACCACAGTCCCAGTCTCGTGACTTCCCTGAACCAAGAGACCAAACTCATATCTTGGTATCCCGAGGTCAGTCTTACAAGAATCATTCACTGTCTATTACTAAGTTATAATGAGCAATGAAGGCGGAGTAAATCGTAACCCGCCTTTCAATTTCAACTAACCACTGATATCAAGACACTGAGAAACGTGCTCATACATAGATGGAATTCCCCGTAATGAAAGATTTGTTGAGTCATATAATAAGTGAATTAGACGCTTGAATTCTCAATTTTACCCCGAGATGAAAGGCGCAGCAGGAATTTCCGCGGCTTTTACTTTCTATCAAGCTCCTCTTCCTGTTTCATCACCACCAAGAGTCAAATTACCCCTCAATAGCAAATAAAAGAATCAATAATTGTATAGCATTATCCAATTACCACAAGTGAAGCTATCAGAATAATATGAGCGCCCCTGCTCTTCCACAACTACCTCGGTACTGACTGGGCTTTTGTTGGGAGGTCGCCGTAGAAAAACTCAGCGAAATGATTGTTTGAAGTGAATGAATATTATCAAAAGCCTCAAAAAGTGAATATAGCGAACGCTAAGCCGATCAGAGTTTTCATCAAGTTTGATTAGCGAGTTCTTTCTTGCGCACAAAAGCATCCTCTTCTTTCTCAAAAATTCTCCCAACCTCCATCCTCTTTACATCCAAAAAATTCAGAATCCATTCAAAGCATCCTTCATACTTGACAACTGTCGTACTACTTGCAAACACTCAATCAATCCAACCCGTACAACATTACAACACGCCTTGCGCATTCTGACTCTTTTACAACTCCTCTTTTACTTTACCATAAGAAAATTCTTGTCTCTTGAAAACAGACCGCTTCTCCATACGTCCTATTCATACACAAGTCCTTTTTTACTTTGCGTGTTACCAACACCACACCACATAACAACAACTTCACCAAGCACTTCTTGAGAGCACCTCGTCTCTCACAAGTACTTATTAATTACTTCAAACTACAACGGTAGTTACAGAACCTCCTCTTTTTACCATCAACCATTAAGCCTTGTTCATCACGAATCATGCCTGCCGTTACCAGATCAAAGTCTCCTTGCAAGAAGGCATCGGCCGATCAAAATCAAGCCTCCTCATCCGCCGCGAGTACCTCCGCGAATGTCGCACCGGTCGCAAACATGCAAGCACCCGCAGATGGAGCTCTAGCTGGTGTTAATAATGCAGTAAGTCCCATCTGTTTGTCAATCGCACATTCTTTGATACCCGATCATGTTCCCCTATCTTGAACCCCACTTTACATTTCATCAACGTGAATGTTCCTTGCTTCTGGAAGCTTCATGTCTTCATTTTGACACATCTTTTTCGTTTCGCACACCATACAACAAGACATTGCCATGGCATCATCTTATTTGATCACATGCTTTCAATTTAATCATGACACTTGCTGACTCCATATTTGCAGTTTTCCGATGCCATGGTTCCAGCCTTGGCGCCGCTCTCTCCTTCCAAGAGAAAGAGAAGCGCAAAGACTCTCAGCGATGACGAAGGCGTTGGCGCGCAACCTTCTGAGCCTATGAAGAGAACACGGGTCGAGAGGAGTGATACCTCTCGTTCCCACCTAACAAGTGGTCAACCTGATTTGGCTGCAACAACTTATTCTCAAGTGGAGAGGGTAGTTCTTGGTCTTGAAGACACACCAGTATTTGGCGCTACTGGTGGTGCTCCCAAGGAGGGTCTTGATGCTGCTGCATCAACTCCCACATCCTCTCCAAAGTCCGTCGAAACCACGGCCGCCGCTCCAGTTTTGGACGGCGAAGAAAACGGTGCCATGGCAAAGGCACCCATTTCTGCGGTCTCTCCAAAGACTGGCATCACCAATACCTGCAAGTGTGATGAGCTTGCTACCAAGTTGCAAGAGATTACTGGCCTGAAGGCTGCTGTTGCAAAGGCCGAAAACGACGCTGAAGAGGCAATAGCAAGATCTCAAGCGATTTTCCAGAAGAAATTCAAGGAGGCTGTGGAAGAGACAAATGCTATTGAGGCCTCGGAAAAGGAGACTCGTGCGGAGTATAACAAGATCCGAGACGCCATGAGAGACCATTTACAGTCAACTCATCGGCTCCGACGTGAGAACGAGCGACTTTCTGACCTTTATGAAGGTCAGAAGAGAGAGAAGGAGGAACTCGCCGCGAGAAACCTGGTGCTCAGGGAGGACATTGCACAGTATCGTGAGGTCTTCAATTTGATGAATAAACGAGTTCCTATCCTCACCGCAGATCAGATCGAACTCGAGCGGACGAAGAAGCTTCTTGCGGCCGAAAAAGTGAAGAACGCGGAATATGAGGGTCAGTTTCAGGAGTCAGCTGAGTTTTTCGGTGCAAATAAGGTGGTTGAGAGCATCGAACGAGTTGATCCAGCTCAAGGAGGTATGTTCCACGAAAATCATAATTATGAGGAACATGCTCAGGAAGATCGCTCCCGTCGTTATCGCACACCAACACCTGCTGGCACTCAAAAGTCCCATCGAGCTTCTAGTTTAGTCGGCTTTCGGGAATCATCTAGGTGGGAGTGTCTTCATGACCGTGGATACAACGGAAATACCTGTCGCCACTGCGGCGACCACGTTCTCGCGGAGGGACATCCCGAGTTTGATCGTGAGAGATCCGTTGCCCCGGCTGATGACTTACCACCCAATTTTAGTGATGAAGAAGAAGAAGATCGCAACCGTGAAAGCGCTTCTTATGAACCCGCAGAAGCGGTCATCAATAACCAGGATGAACCTGAAAAGGTCGGTTCCCCAGTCCTCACTGGCAATGAGGATTATGAAGACAACGACCAGGAGGATGGACCTCAGGATGACGGTGCCTCAGATCTTTATGATTATGAGCATTATGAGAATGAAAATCAACAGGATCATCAGGAGTCTCTTCACCCTGCTGCGGCAGTTGAAAAGACGACTTCTGCACCTTCTGAGCCCCACCCTTCTTCCTCTCCTTCTCCCTCATCTTCCAAGAAGAGAAAGGAAAGTCCTGTCAGCGCATCGAGCCCTGCCAAAAATGTCGAGTCAACCGAAACTGAATTGGCTGGTCCTAGCAGTACTGATACACCACGTGTGATCATTGACTTCAAGCCTGCAAATTCAGGCTGGGGATCGCCAAGCGTTCTTTCCCCACAGGTTGCTGTCACTGCTCCAGCACTTTCAACTCCATCTTCAGCATCCTCGTTCCCGACCTTCATCACTCGGTCCGGAGCTGCAGTTCAATTTGGAGCTGCGACAGCCTTTGGTGCCATTGGCACCGCTGGACCCTCTGTTCGCTTTGGAGCTACTAACTCATTCGGAGTTCCAGCCTTATCGGCAAAAAGCTCTTCGGTCGCTGCCTCCCCTAAGGAGGATAATGCTGAAGAAGACAAGCCAGCTGATCAAAATAAGTAAGTGGAAATCCCAGCCTGCCTAACCACCAACCACCTCATCTACAACACTCGTCATTTCTCAATCATTCAGACGTCGTAGATGCAGCGATGAATGAACACTGGTTTCTTGTACCTGAAAGAACTACGCTGCCTTGAGTTTGGAACGCTCATGGTGGATATTGGGTTCTCGATGGGTTCCATGCATGAAGCTTTTGTTCTTAGTCTTGTACTCTTCGATGTCATCGACTCCTTATACTGGTTGGGCTCGGTTTCGCACAGGATCGTACTTATGTTGGTAAAATGCTCTCCTCTCTCTGGTGTCTCTTTTCAAGATAGTTTACTCGGTGCGGCTCATTGCCACCATCAAAATTTCGCGGTGAGGCTTCACGCATTTCAGGCCTGAAAAAGTCCATTCGGAATTCTACCATGAGCAGCGGCGACTGATATGTGTACTGCCACCATGGATTGGTATATTCTCAAAGAAAACAGAAAAGCTCAAAAAAAATTGATAACAAAAAACAATCACCAAAAAAAAGCTTACCCTCACCTCTCTCTTGATCTCGACCTTGTCACTTCATATTCTTTGGCTTTCGATCCTTGGCCATACCTTTCCTGGACTTTTCCGGAACTTATTTAACCCCAGCATGACACCTGTTGGTCTAACCATCTCTCTATTTCGAAGACCTTCCAACGTTCGTCATCAGCGAAATCCTATTGAGAGTCCTCTGACCACATGACTCCGTCTTCATATTAACCAAGTTTCTTGACATTGTCATGCAGCTTTATCGGTTTGAATACCCCTCGGAATTTTGACGCCAAAGATTTTCCATCGGGAACCTTACCACCTAACTTATTCTTCGATATCATAACCCTTCTCGATATCGATTACTTTTAACTTACGCACTCGCTTGCCTGCGATGTGCATTACTCATATCGGATTTTCGCGCCAACGTCTATCCACCTAAATACAACCACCATAACCAAATAACTTTCGACATTTGCATCTCTAGCAATGTCCATGATGGCCATTACGCCTTCATTAATATTAACTTCCCTTCAGGCATTCCTTCACCACCAGGATTGGGAATTTTACCTTCTCTTAACTTCGCACCATCGACACCTTTTCGATTTGTGCACCAGCTCAAACGATGACGAGATCATTCTTCATATCGAGAGCTTACCACCTTGTTGACATTAGCATCTTTCAGCAATGTCTATGATGGCCATTACGCCTTCATTAATATTACACTTCAGACACTCCGCCACCACCAGGATCAATGTGAGTATTACCACCCCTCTTGACTTCGCAACATCAAAGCTTTCCCAGTGACAATGCTGACAAGTTCTTTCATAGTGTCTAACTCTTATCGGCATTTGTTTCAACAATTTCAACATCATCATCTCACCTCAGTGCTGGCACTGGGGCAAGAGACACGGACTGAATCGCATGAAGACAGTCCAGGAAAGAAACCCCTCCACTCTCAAAAACTAATTCCTTGTTTCTTCATACTGCGGTGGCGATCTAGCAAAGTACCCCCAGCAGCACTCGGATCTTTTCAGCTTTCACACAGCAGCGGCGATCCTTTGTTCCCCCGCACCAACTCAGCTTCGTCCACAACAGGATGGTATATCGGATTTTTTCCCTTAAACCAGCGGCAGCGATCTAGTAAAGTACCTCCGCACCCATTCATTCGGCTTCGTCCTGAAAAGGACTGCACCATCTCGGTCTATCGGCGTCCCACAATTAACAGTTCCACCATGATCAAATCACTGGTGTCGAAAAGTACCACAGACACACAAAACAATCACAAAAAAACTTCAAAAGAGAAAACCCTCAAAAAAAAAAACAGTGCGCCCTCTCTCGCCGGTCTGGTATCAAGCTCACCTTTCAACTCATACGTTCTTGATACCCACCTGGATTTCGACCCATCTAACCTTCCTCCGAAACTTCCACTTCATCGATTCTCACCAGTTCATGTCCACATCGACAGGTAGTGACGACTACAACGGACATGTATCTCGGTATCGATACCTCAGAATTCCTCTCTCTTCTCTTTCACTTCCTTCTCCTCCGCATCAGCAACCGCTGAGACCTCTTTACCAAATCCGCTTACTTCATCATAGACTGACTGCATCAAATTCTCTGCGACGAAATCACCACGTGCAGCAGAGCAGTCATTGTCTAGATGGGAGATCAAGCATGAGAGGTCGACCTTGAAGGAAAGAAAGAGAACAACCAAAAAAAGAAAGACATCAGAATGCAAGAAAGTACCGGTAGATAGTCAGCAGTAGATAGTTCCATTTGGGGCACGTCCGCCTCAGATGCGTCTGATTTTTTTCCCTAGGTTCGGAAGCGTTGTTTGAGTGGTTTCCATTGGGGGCACGTCCGCCTCCGATGCGTCTGATTTTTATTTCCTAGGTTCGGAAGCGCGAAAACCCACATATGTGTTGCAACGCTTGGGAAGGAACCCAGGTTAGTTCCCGTATGATGAGGGTGGAGGACATGCTCGAGTAGATGATTGGGGGTGTTTTGAGTTCTTTGTCTTTGCTGCTTTGTATGGTGGTGTATGGTGGTGGAGCTCTAGTTGTTTGGTTAGATTTTTGATATGGTCGATGGTATTCAAGAAGCAGCATGTTGCTATTGAATGGGAGTTACACGATTGGGAAGAATTACGAACAAAAAAGGCGCGAGATCGAGATAGTCAGAACCCGGAGAGGGCCAGGAAACCTTGGGAGTGGCTCTCCCAAGGTGGATTCAGCTCTAATGGGAGGAAGCGGTTTACACTTTATTTCTGTCTGTCTAGATATAGGATCTGGAGTTTGGGAGTTGGAGATGAGGAGTTCAGGTAGATACCCTTGTGTTCTGATGGTTTTCCAGAATGGTTTATGAAAATGGAGATTTTACAAATTACTTGTTTGCTTTGATTGTGACTGTGATTGATGTGCTTGTGAATTGCAATTGTGCTGGTGATATATAACAAAAAAAATAACTTCAAAGCTAGGGTTACTGAGTGCTGAACTGAAAAAGGCCTATATAGGTACTCGAAGCATACCTCCTTAGCGGTCTAAAATTAAAAAGGTGACATGGTAACTTGCCAAAAGACACTCAACGTGTGGTAATCTTGCATATTCGCTGTATAAGATCCCCGAGTTTCTCAAGTGAAATCGCCAAATTGAAAGACAATGAACGCAAATCAAGGGAAAACAATTATTCATTAACTCATTAATCATTACCCGTTAGCCATACACCCGTTCCACGATCATAATCCATACGCAAGTTCATCGTAGGAGGAGCGAAGGAATTCGTTCCTTCAATCTCTGATCTATCTTCCTCTTCCTTCTCCTCCTCATCGTCATCATCATGATCAGCGCGTAATCTCATCGATCTCTTTTTTAACCTCCGGTTACACCCAGAGATTCTTATCACCTTCTCCCACTCAAATATCCGGGAGCTTGACTTTTTTTCTCATGACACTTCATGAACGAGGTTAATCAGCCGGTTTCGAGGACGTATTCCTATATCCGTTCTCAAGGCTCTCTTCAAAGAGAGACCCACATCGCCTAGGAGCATTCTGCTGCTACAGGCATGATCTGGTTGGCCCTTCTCATCACTTCCTTGTCGTGTCCAAGTCATCGTGGCCTGGCGGAGTTTATTTCGATTATTGATCGTTCGAATCGTGTGTTGACGTTTCAACATCCAGCAAAGTCTCGATAAAACCACATTTGCCTCGGAGGTTCGAGCCCGAGTGAAAAGCGGAACCTTTTTAGGCTAGAATCTAGATGTCCAGACCCTTCAAGCATTGCACGCCGTTTTGATGTTCAGCAAAGTCCGAATTGGCTTAGGCGATCCTCGTGAGTCCTATGTACGTTTTTTCAAGACAGTTACTCTGTGATCGATTCCATGGCAGTCCTCATATATGGTATACAGAGCTTGAATCCATTGATCAAGTGCTGTCTCAGCAGCAGATGTCACGTGTAAATCACGTGAACCCGCTCGTAGACCCTTTCGAATCGATTCGTAAGCCTCAATCATAAGCAAGATCTCTAAGCTTGATGCTTTGTTTTCTTGTTCCGTGGTATGATGATCTTGCTGGAGTGATGTTGATAACTTGCTTGTCAGGAGATTCAAGCAAATCTGTAGGCTAATATCCTGGTCCGATGAAGATGTCTTGTCTAATGGTTCGCATGTTGGGGATGCTGCGTTCTCGGTCCCGAATTTGTTATTCTTTTCATCCCCTTTGAATATTAAACTATGCGGCGAACCTCTTCCGTCGGATCCAACCAGAGTTTCGCAATCCGAGGCTTCAGATGGTGATGTCGCATTACGTCTGCAAAGATCCCGCAGACCCTCTTGAGATTTTATTTTCCTTAATGTTCTCTTGACCGGAATGACAGGTAGATCGAGGTTCCAAGAAGAGGATATACGTCGTCGCGGTAATGTTTTCTGATATTGGTTGGCAAGCCATTCTGAAGAGTTGTGTTCCATCGCTTTCTTTTCCAATTGGCCAATGAAGAAGACCGGGGTTTTAGCTCTCTTTCGTAAGGTCTCCATCTTACTGGTAGTACTGCGTTCGTCGGAAGAATATATACTAATCGAATAATTCGAAGGTACACGACGAATGCGATAATTATTAATGTCGGTATTATGTTGAACTTGGGGTGGATATCTTGGAGATTGTATACTCATCCGTAATTGAGCTGGTGAATAAAAGTTTTGTTCATGTTCTTTCTCTGTCAGATCCAAGTCTCGACCCGCACAAGTAATGGCTACGTCATTGTTGCCATTGTCATCACCAATTGCTTCATTCTCTTCTTGTATTAGATTTAAACAGGGTTGTCTTCTGAAGTCTGACGCTGTCACAACTTGACCGAATAGACAACGAGGAGGAAGCTGATCCCTAGGTAGATCATTGAATGTAACTTGTTTTTGTGAACGTTTTGCTTTTTGGAAATCTGTTGGTTTCGAATCTTCGGAGCTTTTCCTGAGGCCTAAAGAGCCTAGAATACTGGTAAACGACCTCATAATGAAGGGGCTTGATTGTTGGTGTTTCTCGCTTCTTATTAGTTGCACAACCACAGCATAGAAATCTTGGTTTGACAACAATCAACTTACAACAAAGAGCTTTCCTCGATAGTGGGGAACTTCGATGCATTATATGTGTTAATTGTTATTCTTCTGACTTCAGAGCCGGGTAGGGGGATCAACGAGTTATACCATCAGATGATATGGCATGGCATTTGAGCTTTGATATTGTGAGAGTGAGAGTGAGAGTGTGAGTGTGAGAGTGAGAGTAAGAATTGAGAAGGCTGGCCGTGGCGCAACCATTTCGTCGAATGAAACTAGAAATTAGTGTACATTGTGCTATTTTGTTGCAGCATCTATATGAACTTACATGCAAAGAAAAATCTTGCGAGTATCTTTTAACCTGGACATTATTTTCTCGACCATTCATCTTAACGGCCACAATGCCCTTTTGCGTTTTGGTGGCTGATTGATGCTTTGCGGTATGGTCTTTCTTCGCCGATTAGACCTGCTTACAGTTCAAATACCAACTTTAATCATGGGCATGTTCGTCGAGCGTATTTTCTGCATGAGGTAGAAAAAAGGCACAGACTCACCATTTCAATAGAATCCATTGAGATGGCGCAAATTTTCAAGGAGCAAAGAAAGGTAAAAGGATGTTTAAGGCTGGAAAAGAGTTGAAACTTGAAAGTAACAGAAGATGGGGAATTACATTTTAGTGATCAACTACCGAGACTAGCAGTGCCTGTATGTATCCACCCCGAGCCACCATCATTTTATTTTTGCAACGCGATATTAAAAAACTCTATGTAGAACACAACTCGCCAGGCCACTGATGAATGAGAGCATTCTGCTTAATTGTCTTTTTATGACATACTCGAGTTGCAATCCTCCCTTTTCGACAAAGCCATCCATCATGAGATTCACGAATTCGTCAGACAATAAGAAACTCGGATTTCAGAGTAGCTTTGAAACCATTGTCTTTAAAACTTTAAGGCTCCATGCAAATCTTAACTCTACACCAAGTAATCAGATTATAGACTTTTATCAAGATTAAATGATATTTAGATTACTATGATTTTCGCACTTAGAAAAGAGTCTTACAAATTCGCACCCACTGTTGGGACTTGACATTGACCATCGACGGCTTGCCGGCTTTAAATCACGGCACGATACGAGCTTAAATGGTTCAGATTTCTACATCAGGACAATCGCAACACCTCAATCACGATAAATATGCCCCAAACTCAAGACCTTCTGCTTATCTCGTATGCTTTGTGCTGGGCGTGGAGTAAGCACATCTGCCAACACACGTGGAATGGATGGGACGAAAGAAGCCGGTCTATGCACAAAATTCTCGACACCAGAAAAGTCTACTCGACATGCTAAGTAGAACCTTGGAAGAGTTAATGGTATAACCTCCAAAAGAGAAGCTAAGATTAAGGTAAGGCGGTACCTCACTAATGCTATTGCGCTGCTCTTGATCGCTGCACTCTAGGTCTCATGGAATTCAATGTAGGGTTCTAGCACGCAAAAAAACGGCATTGTAGACACGCCTTTTTTAAACTAAGAAGGTCAATCTACACCTTCACTGACAGGGCTGAAAAGAATGTCACGGGGGGCATCATTATGTGAGACCAAATTTCACACTAAATGCGGGGTCTTTCAGCTCCCACCATCGGCGCCTTCAACCACGGCTTAGGTCATGAAAGAGCGATTTTTCACGCGGGAGAAAACCTCAGAACCTATCACCGTGCTCAAGTTCTTTCGACACAAACTCTCGATTGTTGTGTCTGGACCCAGCAACATGTCTTCGAGTATCGAAAGAATTGCGTCTGGACACAGCATGTTCCGGGAGTCCTAGGTGTGCGATGACCCTAAGCAAATGATGACGGTTGTCATGGCCCTTCCATCCTCCCCATTTACGGGACATTCTTGTTTGGTATTAGTCTTTGGATATAATTGGTGTTGATCAATGGCTATCTACTGCCCTTTACCATATACATTCCTGAAGTGGAAAAGAGTGTATGAATTCCACGCCGGTGCCATCAAATGACATATTTCAACTCCGCTTTCTACCATCTGGTAATTATATTAGAGATTCATTTTTCCTCGTGTTTTGTTAACTAATATAGCCCTTCCTAATCTCATCATTATCAAAATCATGGAAGAACATTTAGAAGGAGTCCCCAAATTGCTACATTCTGAAATCGTTGCTCGTTTCACTCTTGGCTATTTCCTTGAGAATATTGCCGTACGGTCAAATCGAACGCTCCTCGTCACGAATATGATTGTTGGCCAGATATTCTATGTTGATCCCAGACATAACGATCCCGAGTCTACTATTCAGTCGATACATGATTTCAATACTGCCGAAGCACCTCCTGAAGACGATGAAGAAACTGGTATCTAAGGCTCAAAAAATCACGCGGAAGCGATTATAGAGCATCCGAAAATTGCCGATTTATTTTATGCATTCTCTGGTGTGCATGAGAAAGCTGATACTTGGGCTGTATACTCCTTGGACTTCCGTGGCTTCGATCCGTCTCGCGGAGCAGCTACAACCATGGTGGAAAGCTCGCGAATCTACCTGAAGCAGGATGGCTCAATGGTGCTACGATGATTCCTGAGACGTCGACTCTATTGATGGCTGAATTCCAGCAATGTAAAACCTTTGCGTTCAATTTACAAACAGGAAAGGTTTCGATCTGAATTGGGGACGAAAGATCAGGGAAGGTCACAACTCATCCACCATGGCCTGCACTCAATGGCCTGGAGTACTTTACAGGCCAGATTTTCGGAACGGTTATTGATCGTGGGACACTCGTGAAAATGCAAGTAGATGAAACTGGCGAGTACAAGAGCGGTAGTCTGGAACTTGTAGTCAATCAGTTTATCGGGGATGATTTTGCATTCTATTGTGAAAGAAGCGCTTATGTAGCTACAGACCCGGCATATACAGTTTTGAAGTTTGTCCAAATTGCGACTGAGCCACAAAAGGGGGAAAGGCTCAAGATTTTAGGTGGACTAGATAAAAAAGAGACTGCAGGTCGGACTGTTTCAGCTCTCGGGAGAGGGGAAAATGATAGTGACTGCATCTATGTAGTGACATGCGGTGGAGTTGTGAATCCAATTGGTGATAATGGATCAGGGCAAGCATTAATTGCTAAAGTTCGTGTTGGAGTGACAGGTGAGGCATGTTAGACTTCGAATGAGTGTTAGAAGTCTGTTACAGTACCCAGACATACAGCATATGAGACTCATATTGTACATTATCATCAACTATACTATGCGTCTTCATGTCGTATATTTGCAAACACGAGTACACTTGCAGATGCCACTACCGGGTTTGCTCCACTTCATTCCTAAATTAATGTTGTCGAAACCTTCACAACTCATCAAGACACAAAATTGGGAAACTAAAACTGCTCGCTACACTTCTCCTTTGACTTAAACTTTAGATCAAACGAAGAAAGCCAGCTTCAAGCAGCACATGCAATTTTCTTTAATTACCTCAGCTTTGCTTCCAAGAGATACTCCAGCTTCTACCGACTTTCCTTGAGCCATTTCTCGGGCTGAATCTATTCCAAAGCACAACATCCAGATAATCTTAATTTTTCAGCTCAAACCCCAGCAATTATTCAACGTCGAAATGGCAAAAATCAAAGGGAAATTATTTGAAATTGATGTATCTGCGAGAGCTATTGAACTGCTGCACTTTATCTCATATGACTGGATCATTTTTTTTATCACCCACACACAAGAAATTATTGAGGTGAATATCCCTTTAACGTGACTGTGAAGCTGCATATGTTTTGACCGTTTAACGTTGAACAGCTGACCTCGGTACGTACCCGTTTACCCGACATTCATCCGTGTGTAACTTTGCAAATACTGACTTAAAAAGGCGATTCACTGCACTCGCGAGAGTAAACCCCGAACTCTACATTATACTCATCTCCGATGTAGTTGTAATGTTGAAAAGAACTATTGGAAGAAATTATTTACCATTTCCCTCTTCTACAGTATGTATTTGAGAAACAGTCAGGTGGTTGTAAAACCTTGGCGAATTTGTCAGGCACGCGAGGCGCCTCACGCGCATTTCATCATGACATTACCTGAAAATGTTTAGACGCGCGTTCTTTCGATCTTGACTGTCTCAAAAATGATCCGATCCGGTGCTACCTTTTGTATCCTTGGTGTTGGTCATACCCAACGTCAGGATTAAGTTTGGCGTTAATATCCGTTATGCTTAGCATTGACGCCTGCTGATCATGGGGGTCTGTCGCCATAATTATCTACATGGGTTCATATTAAGTCTTTGTTGGTGCCCCCTATTCACTCAAAAAAGCTCACTTACCCCAGACGCCAATATGCGAAGGAACCTATAAGCAATTGTTTAATATCGAAATGTTGGAATTCGGTATCTCGGGTTATTGAGTATCATGGACGAGGTCAAGAAAGGGAAATGATATCACCTCTACAGAGGCCGTGTTCCCATATAAAGTATGAGCCTGGGCCCAAAAGGTACAGTTACGGAAATCTCTTAACATTCTTTCCAAGCGGACACCAAACCTCTGCTTCTATCTATTTTTTTCGTTGGCGCCATGTCCTACCGCCTTTCCCTCTTCGGAGGATCACATTTAGCATCGTTGTTTCTTTGCATCTTCGTCTTTACAAACTTAGTGAACTCTTCTGCACCAAAAGACTTCAAATATCCCATTCAGAACCGGTTTTCGTCCAGACAGGACGCCAGTGCTGTTCCAAGCTGGCAAAAATATGTCAGAGCTCCTTCCTCCAATATCATCTCACCTCAAAGCATTGTTAATACCTCCGGAGATGTCAACAATCCCAATGCTCTCCTTGGACAAGGTGGTGGAGTTACCACATTAACTAGAGCTAATGGATCAAATGACGTTCCTTCTATTATTGTTGACTTTGGACAAAACACTGTGGGATACTTGAGCATCAACTTTGCTGGTGCTTCAGCAACTCCCCCCGGTATTCGACTTGCTTTCTCCGAAACTTTGACATATCTTTCCAATATCAGTGACTTTTCACGATCAAACAGTGTTAGTGTACTCCAAAGCTATTTAAATTATAGCTTATGTTGACAATATATCAGGGCCAGACAATCACTCCAGGTTCTGACCAGGTACGGTATTCACTATGCTTCTCTATGCTACCTGTTTCTAACCACAGACTATTCAGATTGCTGTTGGTAGCCAACCTTATACCTGGACCGAAGTGTACGGGTGTCAACATGGTACACAAGTGTGTGCCGATGGCCTTCATGGTTTCCGTTACGTAAAGATCTATCTCGATGCATTAGCCGCAGATGCACCATATACAGCTCCATACGGAAAGGTATCCATCGATTACTTGAGTTTGAAATTTTCAGGTGTTCATGGTACCCCAAATACTTTCACCGGCTGGTTCGAAAGTTCTGATGAGGATTTCAATCAATGGTGGTATGATGGTGTATACACTAATGACATTGCAACCGACATTTTTCAACAAAATTCTAGCGACCCCCGAGATGCCTTCAGTCCAACTCTTGATGGCAAATTAGTTCTCTTGGACGGAGCAAAGAGAGATAGAGATCCCTACGTTGGTGATGTTGCTGTTGCTGGAAAGACATTGTTCCTGTCGCATGATGCACCCGAAGCATCTCGTAATGTTCTTGCTGATTTAGGAGATCATCAACGTGCTGATGGATGGATTCCTCCTGCATCGATGTAAGGGATCATCTCAATCATTACTCGTGGTTGTATACTTACATTTTTTTAATAGTGGCAGCTACGATCTTCACCTCCTCGATTATCCATTGTGGTGGATTGTCAGCAGTTACGATTTATTGATGTACACCGGCGACAACGATTACATCACAAAATATTACCCCAACATCGTCAAAGTCCTGGACGTATTCTACCCATCTGTCACAGACAATGGTACAAACCTCATCTGGAAAGGAGTCGGTATTTCAGGAAGTTATGGAGATTATGCATTCCTTCCTCGTTTTGGTCCAGTCACGTATTACAGTGCCCTCTATGTCCTTGCACTCGAGAACGCTGCTGTAATTGCCAAATCTCAAGGTCAATCTTCCGATGCTTCTCGCTGGCTCGCTCGCGCTAAAGTTGTATCTGATGCACTCAATTCCAATAACTTCGACAATTCAGTCGGAGCATTCTTCGACGGACAAGGACCTCCCTGTGTCGGCGGAGAATTTTGCGAAACCCACTCTCAGGATGGAAATTCCATATCTATCCTCGCAGGAGTTACCAATTCCTCCCGCTCCAATTCTATTCTCAATTACCTCAATACCGCCAATAAGCGCTTTTACGGCAATTCATTTTATGACAACGACGTTCTGCAAGCAGACTTCTCGCAGCGTGTCTATGCATTTATATCTTTCTTCGAAATATCCGCACGATTCAAGACCAACCTCGTAGCAAGTGCCTTTGATGAAATCAGAAGATTATATGGTTGGATGGCCAATAATGATCCCAAAGTTACCATGTGGGAAGGTATTGGACCGAATGGAAGTGCATACGAACAAGGATTCACAAGTATGGCTCATGGATGGAGCACGGGTATTGTGCCTGCAATGAGTAATTACGTTTTGGGTGTTATCCCTACTGGACCTGGATTTTCTACCTGGAGTATTAAACCATATCCGGGTGATCTTAAATGGGCTAAGGGTCAAATTCCCACTCCGAAGGGTCCAATCCATGTGGATTGGAGTATCAAGACAAATGGATGGTTTGCGTTGAGTATAACTGCTCCTGTTGGAACATCTGGGTCAGTGAGTCTACCGGTTCAATTTGGTACGGCTGCGAAACGCGATACTGCACTCGAAATCGATGTTGATGGGGAGGTTGCGTGGAATAATGGACCTAAAGCTTTCGATGCGGAATTAAATGGGGATGATGGATACATTACTTTGAGTTTGGCGGGTGGTGCTGTTCACAATATCACAGTGAAGGCTTAGTGATTGGGTTAGTGTTATTTCCTTTCTGTGTACTTATTAGGAACGAAAGTTTGCGCGCATTCAAATCAAGGTCTGGTTGGCTGGGTTAGGAGCAAGGATTTCAACCTTTATGGGGAGCATTATGGCACCATGATCTATTTCGTTAATAGGGTTCTTGGGTATGGTAATCGGCATGGGCATTAATTTATCAATGGACATTCAGATTATTATAATAAGAGCCTTTGCACGATATCTATTTACCCCAGTAGTAAAACCGCATAAGATATATCACGGATCGGCGACTTTTCCGTGCTAACCAGGGTGGTATTCGGAACATGGGCTCGGATATCTTACAACGATCACACAGAGGAGAAGATCATATCCTGTTTCGGTACATCCCCAGATTTTAACCAAAATTAAGCACCAGCACGGAGGAGCATTTTCTAAATTTGAGTTTATTAAGTGCTAGCTAATTACGGATAAAGCGGGATCATACTTCATTGCCGAGATTTACGAAGTAGTACTCCTTTTGATTCTATTTTCTAAAACCACGAACATACCCATCGTCTTTGGATAGAATCAAAACATTAATAATACTTTTGCAGAAAAAACGCAGACCTTTTAAACATGCGCCAATCCAACACCCGTAAATGAACATTCCTCATCATAAACCCTCTTCTTATCCTTCCCATCCATTCCCACTCTATACACCGCACCACCCAAATCCGTCAAATAAATGTGTTTATTAACCGTATCCAGTTTCAATCCAATCGCTTCATGCAATTGTCTCGTCAAGATTTGATACTCGTTCTTCTCTTCGCTATCATCCTTTAGCGCTTTCAATGAATCGTCCCCAAGCTTTGCTGCGTTCAGACTATTTCCTCGAGGAGGATCTCCTCTATCGGTCCAATACAGTGTCTGTGTATCTTCGTCTATCTCAAGATCAATAGGCTCAGGTAGTTCTTGAAACAATAACTCGATGTCTTTTCTAGTGGAAGCATTTTGGCCCGCTGGCATCTGTATATTGGCGCGGAAGATCCGACCTTTCCCACCTTTCGAAAATCCCTTTTGCGTCCAGTAAAATTTTCCTTCTTTGTTGTTTATGGAGATTCCTACACACCATTTGAGTTGATCTTTTGCATCTTCTGGATTTTGCCAATCGCCGGTTTGGATAATGGTTTCGTGTTCTGATCCGTCGAAGTTACATCTCATGACTCGCAGACCTTCGCGGTCA